GCCATTCTCAGGAGAAGACAAAAGTACTGCCTGTTAAAATAGGCCTCCCTCTCAGCAGGGGGAGCAGAGAGCAGCTGCTGCAGCTGTTCCACCGTCCTCCTCTGAAAACAGCCGCTCCACAACCTTGGTTTTCTCATGTTTTCTTTTTCCATTTTTGGTAGAACATCTTCCACCTCACCATCACATCATCTTCTCATTCGTCGATACTGAAGTCCTTCGACCTTCGACCTTCACAGACCTTTGATGGAAAACAAAGACTTTGGTTCTTTGATGGTTACGCCCTTTCTTTATTTGTTACTGATTTATTTGTGGTTTTTTTTTTTTGGCTTCATACAGTTAGAATCTGCTGAAGTCTGAGAACACCTGAGAAAACCACGGTTGTGTCAGCACCGCGTCATCACCCCGGACCCCCGATCATCACCTCACACACCTCCGTCATGTGACCTCCACATGTCTGAGCTCAGATACCCGCTGCCCTTTTGACACGTGGAGCTATTTTGAAATCCAAACTCCTGTGAGAAGATTTAGAAGCGGCTCCCAGACGAGCACGGCGGCGGCTGCAGGACGGGTGGACAGCGGCCGTCAGGACCCCCACCCTGAGCCTGCTAACGGGGTGGGGGGGGGGCGGCGGCCACCTCGGTTAAGTGCATTCCCAAAGGTCCTGGCCCAAATCCCTGCTTGACCCCGACAGATAAACTGTTCTATGGATAGAACGCCGCAGATTTCTTTTTGCCTTTTAAAATCACGATATGTTTAATATCGTTTGTCAAACGGTTTTAAATACACATTCTAGCGATTTAGCTTAGTTTTTTTTATTAGCTTAGGGCTAGTCACATTTGCTAGCATTTAGCTGCTTATCTTTTGTTATTTAATTGTATATTTTTATTGTTTATATAACAGGAGAAACTTTGGAGCCGGACACTCATATGAGTTCATGCCCAAATCCAGACTCAGGAGTTTTTCATGAGCTTCGACTTCAGCTCTGCTAAAGTTTGACGATAACAGAAGATTCACTATCTTTCGCTGAGCTTCAAGTCTTACATCGCACGAAGCTCTGAGACGTCTGGTCGCCATCACGGTGTTTGGTCTGGACCGCGAGGAGCCTGCACTTCCATGTTCATGAAAGGAGGAGATCAACACATTATGGTCGACCCAGGGCCGGGATGAGGAGACGATAAGATACGGAGAGGCCTCTTCTGTGGGTGACGTTCATGATGAGGCCCAGCAGAGGGTCCAGAGGGGAGACGTCCGACTCTGCAGTCGTTCTGAGGATTCTTTTTATTTGGTTTAATTCACTTTGAAATAATTATAACAAAAATACTAACTGGACAGAGGATTTATACAACTGAAATGTTAGGAATTCAAACTGATTGACTGATGGATGGTTTTTGTTTTTGCTGGGATGATGGAGAACATGTTTGTATTTTTTCACACAGAAACTGCAAAAGGTGTTAAACCACATACTGTTGGTACAAATGGCCTCATGCAAATGAAAGAAAACAAACAAACAAACACAACGAGTGTTGAACCCACGTCAGTTGGTTCAACACTCGTTCAGAACCGAGAAAAACACAACCCACAGCTGGAGTCAAAGATTCCCAGCCTTAATTAGAGACAAATGTGTTTGGAAAACAAACGGGTCGTCGGTGGTCGAGGTCTGGAGGTGAAGTCTCTGATTCCAAAGATGGACTTCTGTTCTTTGACCTGTTCCAGGCTAGCGGCTGTTTACCAGTCCATCGTGGGGTCACAACCATTCACAGAACCAGCATCAGTTACTGCCAGTAATCAAACTGGTGACCTTCCTGCTGTCTAGCAAAGCCACTGACCGCTCTTGCACCGCGTGGTCAGTGAGGTCAAAATGGAAGGACTGAAATGTATTGCCGCCGTCTTTTCTTCCCAGGTTCATTCTGCCTCCGTTTTCCTTCATGTCATTTTATCACCGTGCTGATAAAAGCGACCAGAGCGACTCCAGCACAATACTTCACACTCAGCACTCCCTCCCATCTTATCGTGCCACGCAGCTTGGCCGGACTGGGCAATATAAATCGGACTTGCCCGGTAAAAAGACGCCAGTTCCGTTTTTGGGCACCACTCATTGTTTGGTCTCGGCCCTGTATTTATTTAGATGTAAATCAGTCCGCAGAAGTGTTACGTCCTGTCCCTGCGCAGTGGGCGTTGGACCCGCGCTGATTTGTTGGAGGAAGTCAGTCACGTTGAGATTGGAGATGTGAGATTTGGTTTTCCCTCAGTTATTGATGTGAGGAGGTGACATCATGCAGCCTCGCCCTGCAGGCTGGCAGCAGGACAGAGAGAGAAACACTCCCACACAAACCTCTGGATTATTATTATTATTATTATTGGGCTGTGTGGCTGCCAGTCAGAACCATGGTAAAGGTCACATGGACATGACACCTGGTACTGTACACGGCAGCATTGACCAATATTCATGACCTGATTCACCTTTGTGTCCATATCTAAAATGGAAAGGTATATTTATATATTTCATTAGTATTTTGTCTGTTTGTTTTTCTGTGCAACAATCTGCCCCCTAATTAGTATAATTATCTCATCATGATGTGACCTTCCCTGAAGCACATCATTGGGATTTTAAAAATACCAGAGCCCCATAGTGAGACGAGGCGACACTGTGACCTGTCTCTGTCTCTGCTGGACTGTCAGCTCTGATTACGTTAAATGTGTTTTTTATTAAATTAATTAAATGTGGTTTCTGTTGTTTGCAGAGCATCTTACAGCTACAGCTACAGCTACCCTCTTCTGCATTGCTCTAGAAAAGCAGTAATTACACAAGATGTTCTGGTGCAACTGCTCATCCACAGGCATGGAACTGAATAATGTACAACAGTGACTCGACTTTTTAAAATTTAATTTCCTGCCATCATGACAAACATCATGCACATTTGCGGTTTCATTGTGGGCTGCAAAAATTGGCTGTACCATTCACCATTTGGTATTATTATTATTATTATTATTTTAATTATTATTAATACCAATGGTACTGAATTTTCTTTCTACTAGAATTTGTCGTACTATTTGTCAGTTACTAGTACTATTAGTACTAGTAGTATTAGTACTATTAGCTTCAGTGATACTGTAGTAGTACTATTACTATTAGCTTCAGTGATACTGTAGTACTGATAACAATATTAAAAGCTGTAATATTAACGGGTACAGGGGCAGGTACAAATAATTATATCGTTTAACTAGCAATGTTGTGCTAACTTTCGAGCTTGCGCGTTCCGCGAACGCCAACGTTTTGTCCTCCGCTGGTTTCCGTAGACATTCCCTCACTGTCACTGTCAGTGAAAGTGACAGCAAGCTACTCTGAGCCGCATACTCTGCTGCCGCCTCAGCCATGGAGGAAATCAACAACATTGAAGTGGTTCCGTGCAACGAGTCAAAATATCTGAAACCGCAGAGGTTGCATTACAGCCAGGTGAGTTGTCTTTGTCTTTTTGTATCGCTTTACAGAAGCTGCAGGCTAATTTCAACCCTCCCCCTCCATTCACTTTAACCAGCTAGCTTAGCATATCCGAGCCTTAATTATATCCCTCAAAACAATCGATAAACAACGCCGGGTTCCTATAATTGAACAACAGTTAACGGATACGTCGTATTTATTTACCGTTTGGCATGTCGTGAATCAGCAGTTAAGACTGTTCACATTGTAACCGGAAAGAGACATTTAAATGCTAACGAGCTAACGAACAGTAGCTGACAGCAAGTATTTAGTCTTTTTGTGTTTGAAAACACGTCAACGTGAACACATGCTGCACTGACGACCTTTAACAGAGTTCCGTGTCAAGGAAAGAGGGTTTTTAGTGAGTCCCGTGTGGTTAGTGTGACTGGATCTAACGACTTTAAACAAACCAGGTTTATATTAAGTTAAAGTGACTGTGGGGGCCTCCGCTTTCAACTCCATGGGAAGTTTCTTAATTTAATTGAGGTTATTCTCCCTACGAGTGATTTTTACCACGCAATATTGATCAAATTTGGTTAAAAAAAAACGAACTAAAGCTTCTGTGTGAACTATCCTTCACTGTTACTGTTATGTTTCTCCTAAAGCCATATTTGGAAGTTGTTTACGTGTTGATTTGTTCTTGTGTAAAAATATTGAACTTGATTGAACATTTTATATATGTTATATGTTAAAATAAATGAAAACAGATCTAAGGTACTGCACTTCACTTAGTTTGGGGGTTTGATACTTTGTTAATGCACCTCATTCTAGCCCGGTCTGGGATTTGAACCAGCCACCCTCTGACCCTTTGCCCTTCGGCCTCTTGCTGCCAAAAAGAAAACATTTCTAAAGTGTTCTCATCGTCTCTGACTGAACCAAGCTGCATCTTTTTTTAATGTTATTCATTCACTACTTCGAGGTTGTCCTGAATCATAAGGACGTCTCTCAGACCCAGAGGTAACATTGTGACAGGACAGTGACTAGTGGTGAACTTTGGAACTGTGAGAACTGATGCTGACTCACCAAACCAGGGAAAACAAAATCCAGATTGAAAAAGAAAGAGGAAATCATGCTTGTGTTTCTGTTCTGAGCAGAGATTGCAGTAGAAAATAGGAAGGACTGTGATGAAACCTTATTGCAAACAGGATATTCATCTCACACACACGCACGTGTGGTTATTTTTGTCACATTTAAATGCAGTTTTGCCTGAAGTGTTTTGAAGTATTAAAACCACAGCTGGTTTTAAGAAGCTTTGTTTCCAGTCTGAAAATAGAAGTACCTCGATTCACACCTGTGATGGCTGCTGGTGTCGGGGGCTTAGATTATGGGACGGGTGAGGACGGCAGATGGACGACAAAGGAAGCGATGGCGAGCTGCCTTTCTTTTATCCTGCTCATCTCTCCTGTGCACCTCAGGAGGGTCGATCAGTGATTCCACTCCAAAGGTTTTCTTTAATCAAACCGAGGGAGCATCTCTTCATCGAACCTTTTCATGTTCATCTGCTGCCCTGTCACACACACACATGCACACGCACAAAAACCCACACTGTAAGTAGGCAGCAGATGTAAGAGGCTCTCCTCATCATTAGTCTTTAGTGGTGTTTTTGTCCCCCCCCCTCTCCCCTCCCGTTACAAAGCAGGTGATTTTTCCCTCGTTGACTCCGGCTAGCCCCTCTCATCTAAGCGTTAACGTAGAACCACAAGTTGGTCCTTCAAACTATATAATTGCCTCCCGTTTAGTCGCTGAACGAGTTGAATTATTCATCTGAATTTATTGTCTCGGCCTCTTCAACTTCCACCTAGGGCTGTAACCAGTCGACTGGTCGGTTTATTGGCCGATACGGAGTACACACATACTGTATGTACTCTGTATCCACTTTAGTTGGAGTTGAAAAAAATTATACTCTAAATGCTCATTTTGGAGCCAATAGGGGGAAAAAAGATGATATAAAAATAATTTAGAGCCAATAGGAAAAAAAAGATGATATAAAAATAATTTAGATTGTCATTCCTTTGAACGTTTAGCTCAAATATCCGACTAAACACAGAGTCGCTGTTCCATGGGTTATTGGAAGCACCATTTTAACTCCTTCATTAGATGCTATTTCAACCCAGGCCTAGTGGCCGACAGTGGCTCTGCAGGCAAAGTGTTTTCCCTTCATTACACCCAGAGAGGACATCCATCCTTTATCTACAGTCTGTATACGATGTGTCCTTGACAAGTGTGTCCTTCATACTTAGATGGACCCCGGAGGACGGGTTCCACTGACGGGGGGGGCCAGTATAACGCTGCAGATCCCGTCAGTGCAGGTGCAGTCGTTTTCACCATTGTCCTTCTGGGACATCAGTAGTGGTGATCAGTAGTTCACTGGTTTTAACGGGTGTATCATGCTCAGAGGACGGAGGCTGGAGATGAATTTAAAAAAAAAAAAAAATGGAGTCCATGCGTTGGAAATCAAAGAGATCTATTGTATTTGAAAAGCTTGTTGTTTTTTGTTTTTTTTTGGTGGGGGGGAGTGAGGGGGCGGGCGCTGCAGCTGCCCGCTTCATGGTGTGGTCAACGCAGGAGGTGTGTGATGGTGATTAGACTTTAAGCACCTAAAAGATCAAGACCATACAACCCTCCCTACAATGGCCATTCAAACTGGAGCATTTCTGATGTCCAGAGCCAGAGGGGCCACATTCATTTCAAGGTCCTGTGTCGCCCTGTTCCACCCTCTCTCTCTCTCTCTCTCTCACTCTCACCCTCTCTGCTCTCTCTCCCTTTGGTCTAATCTCTCTCTGTCGTAATCCATGTCCGCCACGATTCTTCATCTCCCTGGGGCTATTCAAGCCGAACCAGCCCACCCCCCCGAGCCCACTGCCCCCCCCCCGCACACTTCTCTCAGCAAGTGGCCTGGGTAATGAGGGGAACCCCACCATCTGTGAGTGTTGACAGGAGTGTGTGTGTGTGTGTGTGTGTGTGTGTGTGTGTGTGTGTGTGTGTGTGTGTGTGTGGTAACACGATGAGTGATTTTTACCTTGAAGGAAGTTGTCGTCCTCTTCAGGTTATTCTGTGTATTTTTGATCTGACGACTGTAAACACTGCAAACTTTCACCTAGAGATTCCTCCCACTCACCGTTGTCAGGGTGCAACGCTGATATTGTGGTATGTTTTTAATACTTTACCTTGGAAAATCTCTCAGAGTTCCCTTGTACAATAAAATAAAAAAAAAAAGATTTGATAATAAAAAACACACGCGTCATTCATCATCCAGAACCAGTTTTTACTGAGTGGCAAGACATAAGAAGTGCAGACCTGCCTCAGTAATAAAGCAGTGATTTATAACACACTTACATACAGAGGTAAACCTTCGTACTGATTTTTGTTTTCGTCGATGAATCAATGGCTTTAGGCGACACATGGAAGAATGATACATATACGTTAGACGCTCACACACATTGTTGGGTTGTGTTTCATGAGACGATGAAAATATGTGTGAGGTTAAAGATCATTTTATTCCAGAATAAATTTTCAACTGTTTTAACCCATATGTTTTTTACGACTAAAGTACTCGTGATTATATGTCGTTCGTTATATACTATTATATATATTTTACATAAATAAAAAAAAGAGCAGTAACTGAACAACAGTGGTTTAGTCTTAGTGTTTAAAGGTTTAAGGTTTAAAGTTTAAGACTATCTTTAAAATCAAAATGATCTTTTTTCCCACAACCAATCAGCTTTTTGTTTAAGATTATTGGACAGGATTGAGTATTGATAAACCCTGTGTTCTAATTGGATCATTTCTGTCAGACGTTATTATGAGTAACTTCATAATTTTCTCTCTGATCTTGGATTAAAACTAAACTATATATACTTCATTATCAGAATGTGACCTCAAGTAAAAACCATATTTTTGCGAAAAAAATCAACTCTTGAGGATGTAAAAAAAATCAACAGTTTGATAGAAACCTGTTGTCAGACCTATGGCAGCCTCGGCTTCCTGCACTTGTTTGACATCACAGCGATATAGTTAATGATGCATGAACAGCATTATCCTGGCTTGGCTTCACATCGAGGCCATGTGCCGGTGAACTGTTCGGTCCTGCACCGGTCGGAGGGTCGTTGATCTGACGTGATTTACAGAAGCGTCTCCTCCTCTTACCAGTAGCGTTTTTATGGAGGAAGATAAAGTTTTATTGGTAAATTATCAGCACCATGCAAATCTCACTGGCTGATTTATATGCAAGTCAAGTTCTTTACGAAGGAACTAGATGTTTTACCTGAAGGCCAACTCAGAGACACAGAGTAACAAGAAGACGCAGACATGAAAGTAATCATTTTCTGGTTGTGTGTTGTAATCGTTGTATAATGTCACAGGTTCTGGTCTTAGAACAGCCGTAAATTATGACAAAGGGAGTTCACATTGGAATGTCTTTGAAAAGACAGTCGTCTCCACTGTCTTCATATGTTCTCAACAATTATGCCTTCCATCAAGTGAATCCAGTGACATCATCAGTCGAGTGGGATTTTTACACCTTTTGTTTCTTGAGGTTCAAAGAGATTAAATGGAAGGATGAAGAAGTGAAATCTAACAAACGTTACAGACCGACGTCGTAGCGTAATCGGAATGTGTCATGTTATCTCTGTTTTTTTTGGGGGGGGGGGATTACAAATTAAACACAATTCAGATTTCCCAGGAAACCTTTGAAGAATATAGAAGTTGTGTCATTTCGCTAATTGAATACAATTAAATCTTTATAAAAGAAATTTCCCCAAAGGCAGAAAATCTAGAAATGGTCTTCTGTTAGTCAGCTCTGAAGTCCTGTTGCTACAACAGAAGCTCTATTAGGTCTCATCTTCTCAGCGTCTTCTACCTCTTCTAATACCACCCTGGGTGGTAGTGATGCTAACGTTGTACTGCGCCACACAAGAGAGCCCCTCATTAAAGGTGAACTAAGCCTTTTGCTGCAGAGCTGTCATGAAGAGGGAGAAAATATACAGCTTAAATTTGAATCCAGGCCATTTTTCCCTGGGCGCAGAAAATGTAGGCCAACTTCAACATATATAAATTGCATGTGAGAGGGTGGGAGGGATTCGTGTGAGGTTGATGGTTCCGTTAAATTTATCACTTGACGCTAATAACTAACGAAAATTAAATTATGTTTGGTCTTGTTTTGTTTTGTGCTCGTTTCCAAAACGACTGGTTCTCAGTGCTGTCTGATAAATGATGTTTCAACGCTGTACGATTCTGGTTTAACTGCAGACTTCATTGCCAGTCGTTGGTAAAGATCTTATCTTATCATACCCTGATACGATATTTAGGACAACATGATGTGATAATATAAGGTAGTGAGTCGTTACGTGCGGTTGTATTTTTGCGTTTCATATTTGATGTTGATCATGTTCTTTTTCATTATCTGCTGTACATTTGAAGATCTTAAAGGTGCAGTGAGTTGAGAACTCAACATATTTTCACCTGTTTGATTTTTTGTGATATAGTTCGCAACCCTTACGGTATCTCAACGTCTAATGGTGTTTGGTTCATTGACACGTTTGCGTCCCGTACGAAGAGAATTTGCACTTAGCTGTTAGAGGGTAAAGTAAAGTTCAACCTTGCGTAACTCATGCAATTTGTCTTTTGGGTTTTTTTGGGGTTTTTTTTTACACACAATTAACCAGAGTAAATACATCTGGTGACTACTCGTTGGCAACCTAGGTTTTCTGTGTTTGTCAACACACGTTTTCAATCTGTTATCGACTAACAGTCAATTATTGACTTTTTGGAGCAGGTGCAAAGGCATTGACCCTTCGGGTAAATATATTTGCAAATATATCTTAACACAACTCAGGTGCAAAATGTCCAGGTTTGTCTACCTGAACCTCGTGGATCTGTTTTAACTTCAGCCACGATGAATGACAGTAAACCAGACAATCAGGATGTTTGAGAGATCAACTTTTTCTTTCACACTTTCCATAGAGTTAGTAAAGAATGTGTGTGTGTGTGTGTGTCTGCGTGCGTGTGTGTGAGGGACTCTACCCACATATTTTCGATCTCTAATGTCAGAATGTTTTTGACGTCCATTGTGCCTGGTGCACACCTGCATCAGCAGTTCCTTTGTGCTGCTGGCGGTGCAATCAGCTTAGTATCCTTTTGATGCGTTGACGTGACCATGGGGCATGAAAACACTTAGATACAACCTCTGTTTATCCAGCTGAATAATTACAGGACGTGTTTTAGGGTTTAGTCATCGCAACCTGTTCCCTGTAACTCAACCCAGGTCGGACTTTTGTTTCTTTTGTTACTAGGTAGCACAGGAATCAGTCATTCAGTAAAAGTCCTCTGTGTGCAAGTCATTGAATAGAATAGTTGGACCATGATTTGACCACATTTTTTTTTGTTGTTGCTTTTATTTGCTGTAAACTGACAAATTTGAGCAGGTGAAAATTTAAAGGGTGATCAGACAATGCACTTTTACTTGTAATGACAACTCTCTCAGCATTGTAATGTAGTTGTATAAACACTTGAAATTTTTTTTTATTATGAATTAGTTGTAAACATGTAGTCAACAAAGTTTTCTGAACGTCCTCTGATGAGCGCTCCGTGCTTCTCTTCCTTTTGCTCTGCCACTGCACATGTTTTCCTTAGGCGCGGCTTAATTCCAGCGTGCCCAAGCAAGCTCGGGTTATTGGACGGATGTTGTGTTTATACCTCATATAAATGAGCTGCTTTGACATCCCAACACACACAGTCACATCCAACAAAGGGTGTGAGGAGCTGCGGTGCCGCTGATTACATCTGGTTCCACCTGACAACTGTTTGAACACATGGTTTGAATCCAAAGTTGTTAAATCGGTAGCAACTAATCTCGGTGCTGCTTCTGATGTCGTGCTGTTTGAACGGCTGCGACTCTGACAAACCATCACCTGCGCTGATGAAGTTGTGATAAATTGGACCTTTCATTTAACTGTGTTTTTCTGTTATTTCCTTCACAGAACGGCACAAAGAAATTCTGGGACTTCGTGCAAACCCACGACAGGTAAAGGACCATGAATCACACTTCTTCACCTCTGAAATCATCAGGTTTAGCTCGGATTATTATTTGTTTACTTATTTATATTTCTTATACTCTACATCACGTGTCAAACTCAAGGCCCGGGGGCCAACTGCGGCCCGCCCAGTCATTTAGTGTGGTCCACAGGAGTTTAAAAAACATTTAATAAAGTCCACGCAGCAGAGTTTCTTCACCTGATAAACTAAAAGTTTTTGTTTTTATTGAACAGCAATGAACATTATTTGTTACTTGAAAAAATAATAATCAATTGCAGAAACATTGATTAATGCTTTATGGATGAGTTACATCTCTACAGTCTTCCATTTTCTGAGATCTATTTATTTACCCTCATACCCTTCAAGTTGTCGTCCACCAATGTGAGCCATGATAATACAGTGATTTTCCTCAGACCTGGTCTTTGTGTAATTCCGGTGGCCCGTTATTCCACTCCAAGGTGGCGGTAAATGTCAGAGCTTCCCAGGGGGCGCTGTAGGAGAAATATCACACATTTGTGTCAAAGCCATAATTACCAAACTCTGTTTAGCTCGTGGTCCTCTGATACCCCCAGGCAGGTTTCAGGTCATTTAAAGCCTCTTTCCTCCACTCCTGACCCCAGAACGAGGTCCCTGTGAAAAATGGTACCACAGAGACAAAGGCAGTAAAGGAAATACAGCCCACGGGAACATCCAGCTGTTCCTCAGGTGCTAACGTGTTCTCCCCCATCAGACCGCAGTCACTGGAGCCGGGACTGTTTTGCTTTTTTGTTTAAGAGTGCGTGACATTTCTTCTCAGCAGGCGTCTTACGCAAGATGCGACAGTGAAAATGTAAAAGACAGATTGCAGTAAAGAGCAGTCGGGTTGTAAAGGATCGCGAGCTGCTTCTTTGTTACTGGCTAGAACTCACTTCAACCGCTAAAGTATCTAAAGTTTTTTGCTATTGATTTCTCCTAGTTTTACAAAAAAAAAACCCATCTAGTGATACTCTTTTGAAGATCCAGCAAAAAGGATCCTTCGAAGTTCATGCAGGAAGATTTTCCTCCGAGGTTTGGAAGTCGGTAACTTGCCTGTCTGGGTTGGTTTTTTTTTTTTTTCTAAACATCCAAGGATGGAAACCTTGACCTTCACTGATATTTAGAGGGAGGGATTTCCTGAACTTTTAGACCTAATTGTAGTTTTCCACCACTTCTGCCTCTATTGGTTTTGGATTTGATAGGTGACTCGTGGCCTTTAGCTAAATCAGGGTCTTACATGGGCAGTCATCTGAATCTTATCATTTTAACTCAGTTAGTATTTTTAGAGGTCAGTTGCCCACTGGCTCTAAACGACATCATGCATCTTAACCAGCAACAACATATGGGTTGGCCTGAAACTTCTGCAGCTCTCACATGAACCGGAACAGAAAGAGAGGAGAAAGGTACAGAAAAGTTCTGTACCTTTCTCCTCAAAAAAGTCCACAAAACTATTTGTAATATTTTCTAAATGTAGTAATCAAAAAAATGTATGGCTTCAAAGCACCAAGTAATGTATATGTATTTACTCATTTACCCAATTGTGAGTGTAATCATCTATAATTAAGAACAACAGTGTCAGTGCTGTACATCATCGTGCTGTAATGATATATATCAGCCGTCCTCGTCCTGAGGTTACTGTCAAGAAAGACGGGAAAATGCACAAAGACTTCAAAGGATGTTTGTCACTACCTCTGCCGACCAATGAGAGTCTTCATACAAGTCTACATGGATTAGTTTCAGTCTATTTGTAACCCTTAGTCAGATTGAAGTATTACAAATAGGCAGCAAGAGTTTTTTGGGTTTTTTTTTGTGTTTTTTTTTTAAATCCACACTGTAATTAAAAATAAAGAAATAAAACTGCTCCATCGGGGGCAATTTCAAAGACATGTCAGATTAGAAGATGATAGATAACAATTATGACACGCATAAATACTTGACATTTTTTTGACTTACATGACCTACAGGGACAGGTTCTTGGCTGCCTTGTTGCTACAGGTTTGGTGTTAAATATGGACGATAAAGAACTCTTTTACCTCTGGTTTTTCCCCGTGGAAGAGATTTCCTCCGTTGCCCTTCTCCTCTCACTTATAGACCAACGAGAAGTGGCTCGGCACGGAAAGTTAAACGGCGCATGAAGAGTCCTGAGCGTCCGTTTAACCCAGCTTCTTGGTTTAACCATTAGAAAGAATGTTTTTCAGGAGGAAGCTGTAGAACAGCAGAAATGGTGTGGAACCGCACTACAGGACCCGGGTCTGGCCCAGGGGTCTGGCCCAGGGGTCTGGCCCAGGGGCACTGTTGTCATGCCTCGGGCCTGTGTGGTCCACTTTGGGGTTGCCGTGTAACCTTGACCGTTTTTGTGGTCTACAACGGTGTTGAGCTCTCGTACGTCAACCTTGAACCTAGAGTAGACTAGAGTATCTAGGTTGGACAAACTGATAAAAAAAAAAAACAGCTTTTTATTTCTCTAACTGGTTCTTGATTCTGTATTTGACCTTTGATTTGTTCGATAAAACTTGGCATCACAGCTCAAGTCTGAAGGACCAGGAGTTCTCATTAGTGATCAGCTTCTGTTTTTAATGGTGGAGTCTTTTCAGTTTTCCATCCTTGAAGGTGTGTTCATCAACTTCTGCACAAGAATAATGTGTAGAACATGATGAACTTGATGCATAATCACTCTTAATAGAAGGTCTTTTTCTTGAGTTCATTCGTCAAACAATAACTAGCGAGATCACTGAGCCTTGAGGACGTTAACAAACAAAACCCTTTCTTTTTTTTAAGCACTTGAACAAGAAAATTTCTTTTTCTGGAAGTTGAATGACAGATGAATCCCAGTGAGTCTTTAATTTCCTGGAGGTTGAATGACAGATGAATCCCAGTGAGTGTGTAAAAAGTCAAATGTTCTTGACAAGCGCTGACAGGCCACGGCAAGAAAGGTCACTTGTTAGATTTGCACGCCGGCAGAAAAGCCCACATTTGTCTTTGTTTGAAATGCCCAGTATGAATAGAAGACTGATATTAAATCAGCTTCCCTGGTGCTGCTGCTACGTGAACGGAGTTGTAAGAGCAACCTCCTGGTTGTTTCTCACCATGGGAAAGACAGGGCAGGGCTTCCTGCCGCCTCAGACACATCCGTTTTCCCAGCACAGTCCCCGAGTCTCGAGTCTCCACTGGCAGCGACAGTCGCACTCCAACACACTGGAGCCCACAGCTGCCTCCACACGTTTGACTGGAAGCCCTTGAAGAAGAAGTCTGAGTGCTGAGTCATCGACGCATGTCACGCTTTGTTTTTATCACATGATGCATTTTCATACACGTGTGGGTTTTTTTTTTTTTGTCATCTTGTGTCATTTGAGAGTTTATGATACATCAGTCGTGGCGTACAGATATCTGCTGTTACCGTACAGCGGCCCGGACGTTGTGATTCACACAACGTTTCGAAAGTGATGCCCGCGGTTGCGACATGTCGTGCCCACATTCCTGTGTTTGTGTGTTGGTTGACAACAACAAAGAAAAGTGTCAGTCATGAGCAGGGAGTTTCCTCCTAAACCAAAACAGTTCCTGCCTCTCTCATCTGGAGTTTTAACGCCACCAGCTGACAGCGTTTTACAGTTGGAAATAACGCGTCATTCCAACACGTAGAACTGTTCAGATGAACCGACACGCAGCAGAAAGTTTACACTGTGGCACAATCTTAGAGGAGCGCTGAGCAGCGTGACACAGCCCATCCTCATGACATGAGTTGTTGCTAGAGTGGTTTCAAAAGTGGGGGTTGGGACCCCAGGAGGGCCGTGCAGCTACTGTGTAGAGGTAGAGAGCAGTGAAAATCAGTTTTAAATATTTACTATGTTTGAACTGGTTTGTAATTTTATTCTTTTGTTCAGTGTGAAGAGCAGATTTGTTTGGCAAAAACCGTTCATTGGAGGCACTAGCTGTGATACTGTAGGCCTGGGGTGTCAAATCTGTGGCCCGTGGGCCAAAACCTGCCCGCTAGTTGGTTCAATTAGGCCTGCTTGATACATTAGATGGTTCAATTAGGCCTGCTTGATACATTTTGGGAATAGAGAACGCACAAATACCTCATCTTTGTGACGTTTTGTAGAATTATGTTTCATTAAATATTTTCTAATACACTTATTTGCATGAAAAAAGGGGAAAAACATGGACTTACTGTTATTTATAGGTAATTGTGTTATGATTGTACTGGTGACTCTCCCAGGGACACATCAGAATGTGGACTAGCATCTCTAGCATCTGTCTATGAGAAGGCTAGAAGACTGAGGAAGGGTCCGTCATGTTACTCATGTTAATCCCAAATGAAGTCTTATTCCAGATGACGTGGTCACCGTTTGCTAACCCACTTTCTTCTGCTCTCCTCAGTGTATCAGTGCTGATCTTCAACACCACCTCACATTGTTTTGTCCTCGTCAAGCAGTTCCGTCCAGGTACGTTTCCAACACACAAAGCCAGTACTGTGCAGTACCGTTTGTTCATTCTTGTTCTTGTCACCGTCACAGATCTGGATTGTTGTACATCCTGTGGGCACTTTCACTAAACTGCATTACACTACAGTCACTGTTTATTCTACTGGGCCTTTGGTAACAATGCAGCCTCTTAAATAGACTCCACGAAGGCCCCATACAAAGCTGCCTCACCTCCTTTGTCAGGAGCCACCAGGGACCGCTACACACGGCACTGGGCTAAATTCAAGGAAGTCTGGGCACTGATATACTGATATATTTTCTTCCTCTAATCGTTCACTGCTGTGTGGGGGTGGGCGGGACGGAGGGGGAGACGGGGGAGGGGGGAGCGATCTGTCATGTATTCTAAAGAAATCAGTTTGTCCTCGGCCAAGAATGGAGTTTATTTCTAAACAGGGAGTGTACGATCTATCAGTCCGTTTAATGATATCACAAAACAAACGTGTAAAAATATATCAACGTTCAGAGTTTTTCCCCCCGCAGGAAATTGATCAGGATACGTGTTAAGTAAACACTGATATCGTATTGTTTTGATATCTGGATCGTGTGGGAGGTTTTTTTTTTCCCATATATTTCTTCTAAAATGATGTCATACCTGAGATGAAGTCAAGTGTCATTTTTATTATTACAGTCAGGGTTTAAACAAAAAAAACTGTTTCAGTTCTTTGTGGAAAAAAATGACTGACTAACTGTTAGAGTTCTTTGTGGAAAAAAATGACTGACTTGACTTTCCTTATTTACACCAATCAGCCGTGTATATGAATGAGTGGGAAAAGAAGAAGAGATTGTCGTCTCCCTCTGCTGAAACAACTGAAGAAGAGGGCGCTGACGCCGCAGCGCCGGAGTCCAAGGAAGAGCAGTCGGCCTCAGAGGGAGACGACGGCTCTTCTCCGTGGCCTCCAGCCTCCACGGGCGTCACCTACGAGCTCTGTGCGGGGCTGGTGGACAAGCCTGACCTCTCCCTGGAGGAGATCGCCCGGCAGGAGGTGCTGGAGGAGTGTGGCTACGACGTTCCCGTCTCCAAGCTGAGGAAGATAACGTCCTACAGGTGAGGTGGGGGAACAACTGCGAAGAACAACACTTTACTTTTACTGCAGCGTCTTTTAGGTAATTACTGTGGTACGTATAACGTCTGCCCACCTCAACCAGAGAGAGCTGCTAGTCCTGGGTTCGATTCCCAGAGGAAACACATACCTGTATCATATCAGCAGATTTGTTTCTGTGTGGGGTTAGAGTTCAGGTCTTCAGTCATCCGTGACAGTCCATTCTTGTAAGGATTAAAAACGCAATTGAATATCTGAGGTGCTAACTCGGTCTGAATCTGTACCTGCGGTCACTGAGCTCTGAGCTCAGGCTGGAAGCCTGCAGTCACTGAGCTCTGAGCTCAGGCTGGAAACTGAAAAGAAGTTCATCCGTAACGAGCGGACTAGAGTGTTTTCTGACTTTGTTAAAGTTAATACACCAACTAATGACATTCCTTGTACACGGTGTACTCTGTGCGAGTCACGTCGTTCTGCTCTGTGGTAAATCACTGACGCAGCTCTAATCTGTGGTTCCACAGATTCACGTCCAACAGACGATTCAAGCTCGAGTTCGAGCTGAATTTCAGGGTTAAAGTCGAGATTCCACCGTTATCACTGGCACCACATCGAACGCTTGTGTTTAATTAATCAAAAATGTTTGGTTGGGAAAAAAAACATGGCAGGATTGAAGTACATAGCCTGCAGTCACAGCTGACAGCTTTTTGGAGGAAGTCCCTGAGCAATAAAGATCTGGAGAGATTTGTGGTCTCGAAGTGAAAGTAGAAAGAGAGAAGGATGGGGTGAGCCATCAGTCTCTGTCAGAGGGGTGAGGACGACGAGAGCGTGTCCCACATCACAACAGCAGCACCTGGCCAGCTCCCACCGACGCCTCGGCCTTTGATTCTGACTGTTGCCCCTGCTGCGGCTGTTGGTGTCGTCTGTGGTCGATGTTATGTTTTGGCTGCGACTCTTTTCCCGCAGACGAATATCATCTTAACCCCCACGACCCCCATGAGGGTGGTTCTGACAGAGTGTGACAGGGTGGTGATGACATTTGGTAACTGCAGCTGAAGTCGAGGGTCTCAGGATTCTGCAGCAGAACTTGTTTTATGGAGGGTGATGGAGGACTGAGGTCCGTTGTCTCCACTGGATCAATCAGTGTAATAATAATGACACCATGAGGAGACGGATGTGCTCCAACAGGATGTGTCTGTCAGCTCCGCAGCTGCTCTTCTAATCTTATGGGCAACAGTCATTGGATCAAGTCAAACAGATCAGTTTGATCCGAACATTTGGATCCTGGTCTGATCCAGACGTAATCCCAAAACAGTTTCACCTAATAACAGTTCTTCTTCTTCTTCTTTTTTTCTTCCTTCTTCTTCTGCTTCCCCTTCCTTCTTTTTCTTTTCCTTCTTCTTCTTCTTTTCCTTCTTCCGTCTCCTTCTTCCGTCTCCTTCTTCTTTTCCTTCTTCTTCTGCTTCTTCTTCTTCTTCTTTTTCTTCTTTTCAGGATCTGTTTCATCACTGTTTACATGCTTCTTCCCTCATTTTGAAATCGGTACTGATTGAGTTGATTGGTCATCGTTTCCAGAGTTTTCCGTGTCCTTTTTAATGACTACTTCATCAACGTTTTAGTCATTTAGTTTTCGCTTGGGAGTCATATTTGAAAGGAGGTTTTTTCGGTCTTGTTCTCTGTTACTAACCTGAGTTGACAAACCAAGTCTCGTTCTCTGTTACTAACCTGAGTTGACAACTGGACTGACAACATGTTCTCTGACGACGAGACAAAGAATGATCGTTTTCATTTCTGTGTTTCCCGCCTCTCAGGTCGGGGGTAGGTATATCAGGAGCCAAGCAGACCATGTTTTACGCTGAGGTGTCCGACGACACCCGTGTGAGTGCAGGTGGCGGCGAGCCTCGAGAGGGGGAGCTGATCGAGGTGATCAAAGTCCCTCTGCACGAGGCCATGACGTTCGCCTACAACGATAGTATCCCCAAAACCATGGGCGTCATCTTTGGCTTCATCTGGTTCCACAATAACATGTCCCCCAAGTACAAGATCTCAACCAATGTCTAACAAGTCATTTACATTTAAAAAAAAAAAAGAAGAAGAAGCCATTCTAGTGGAGATGAAGTGAAACGCTGACACGGCTCACCTTCTGTCGCAGGGCGGCCTGGTGTCTGTGTTTGTTTCGGTTCATCTACCTGATACTCATTATTTTCCCTTAAATAACTCAGATTTTGCCATAGCTGCTGTCGGTCACTTTGAATTCTTTTTTAGGGTTTTTTACTTGTTTTGGTTTTTTGGTTTTTTAATGAGATGATTTTGATGGAGAAGAAAATGGATGAACGTCACATATTCAGTGGTCCACGTGTTATACAGTACTTGCAGATTTTGAATGTTGTTCCAGCGACACCTTCTATTTGTTGCTACATCCGTTTGACATCAGCTGTGACATCATCACACATTTCTGCATCATATGGCCGGATTCTATATTTAAAACCTGTTGTAATCATTGCGCACATTGTCAAATGGATAGTCCCATGTAATGTGAACTACCCACAATGCAGTGTCCATAGTTTGTATAGAAGAACTGGACGCTGTGGTCGCTCTGTGTTGATAAACTAGTCACAGTTCCATTGGCTCTTGATGGGAATTGCACCTCAAACCTCTGAAGTAATAATGTCCACCAAGCTCCGCCGCATGGCTTCAGGTATCGTCATGTCGTCGATTCACCTGTGGTGAATTATTTAACTGAAAACACATGGTAGAGCACAACGAGAACAAAAAAATGTCCCTCTCACTCAGAGGGTTCGGACTTTCATCTTTAGGAAAAGTTAGGTTTTTTTGGCTAGCTGAACGGCTAGCTCCATTTCTCAAATACATTTTATGTGTGTTGCTGGTTAGCTCTGGTCCGCTAACGTTTATTGCACTTGTGTATTGCACTGCAGTCATGAAGAGAATTGTTCCTAATATGTCGGATTCCCAACGTTGGAAGTGTCTATCCGTGTTCTCTGACTCTAATCCCACCACTTTGAGACATGGAGATTATCAGATGTTTTGAAAAGAAACAGTGGAGTGTTCCTTTAAGCCATGATCCAGTAATGCAAAAACTATGCTCTTTGATTGTGGGGCCGTGTAAAGACCAAGGATTTGAGGAGTGTTTTTACACAGCCGCTGCTTCGTGTTCTGACACGCCTTCAATTAATTTATCAGATCCACAGCCTCTGAGCAATATCTTTACGGTGTCCCCCGAGCTACACACAATCACTCAGAGCTGCCGCTGAACTCCACTCGCTCCCTGGTGGAAATCCTTCAGTGGCATTTAACGTGTCAAACAGAAGAAGCCCAGCACACCTACCTCAGCACTGAGGGCCTAATTTACACTTCTCACAGTCCTGGCTTCCAGCCCATAAGACGATAATTGCAGACAATTTTCACACTTTTGCATCGAGGCAGGAATCCAACCATCGACAGTGTTTCACCTTATCAAGACATGGATTACATACATTTTTGTCTAAGCCTTGACTTTGACTTATTGCGAGACGTAAACTTGAAATCCTGCAGCGTTTTAGAAGAATTTTAATGTTGAAAAATTAGACCCAGGACGTTTTAGCTTGCAGCTGAATCTTTTTGACACTTGTGCAGGCACAGAGGCATTAGTGTTCTTCCAGCAACGTCGTAGGTAAAACTGCTGTGTTTCAGAGATTGTAAATCATTATTTGTCATGTTAGGGTTTAGGTTTAGGGTTTAGTTGACTTTACTTCCCAACCGCCAACTACAGTCACCGACTTCTGTCGCTGTCGTCCTCACATTTCGTACTAGCCGAACTGAATCAGTGCAGAGAAACCACCATGTTAAAAAAAATACGATCACAGCGTCACATTTCTGAGATCCACCTCATTCGCATCAAGAGACGGAGAATTGTGTATTTCTGTTAGCTAACAGAGCTAACTTTTAAGACTAGTTAGTCCATAATTAGCCTCAAAACCTGTACGATCTGCTTTTGAACACAGGGCGACATAATTACAAAGTAGCTCGAGGTTCGTAGTTAAAGCTGTTAGCCTTTTTTTTTCCAAAAGCCGTGGTTAGGGGTAATTTTTGCAATTTTTTCCTAGGCCTGTTGGGGCATCACTGGCATCAAACCTGCATTCATTACAATCAGTTCAGGTTTCAGGTATTCTGAGTCATAAACCATGATAAAAAAGAGATGAAGTCATTTTTAGATTTGATGTTTTTAAACCTCAGGTCCGTTCAGGGGAAACCACTAAAGGTGATGACCAGCAACTGAAGAACTTACACAAACTTCTAAAGTGAATCGTATTCTCCGCGTTCGAGGGCTGATACTTTATTATTATTATTATTATTATTGTTATTATTGTTAGCATGCAGTCGATTACAACTTCTTAAATTTAGTTGTTTCACACTGTAAAAAAATATGCAATTTATTAAATCTAATGATTCAGTTCTGTGGTTCAGTGTAACAGCCACAGGAGGTGTCAAAGAGCCGTTTACGTCAACGCTGAGCCAAGGATTTAACCCCGCGGTGACTTTCTCTGCCGTCTCAGTTGGACTGGTCTCGGCGCACCAGCAGTTTGTAGATGTTAGAAAATGTGTGTGAAAGCAGCGTGATTAAAATTATACAACACAATACTGCTCCAAATATCTTAGAAAAAATCAATCTTCAAACATTACAAAAAATGTTTTAATCAGAATCCATTAATTATGACTTCACTTGTTTTTTTTGTTTTTTTTTGTATAATTCCCATAATTATACAACACAATACTGCTCAAAATATCTTAGAAAAAAATCAATCTTTAAACATTACAAATTATGTTTTAATCAAAATCCATAAATTATGACTTCACTTGTTTTTTGTTTTTTTTTGTATAATTCCCAGATTTTTGAGGAACAGCTGACAATCATTTATCAACAGCTCTGAACTGTCGTGGTATGTTTTTTCTAATCGTCACAAATGTGAGAAGACGTTACGTCCGACATCTCACTGCGGTTGTGTAGAACCACGTGAGCCCCAAACCCAACACTTTTAGCCTATTTTTTACTCAAAGTGCATGTGAATACATATATATGCATTTAATTCTAAAGCCATATATATGTGTATGTTAACTCTATGTTACGCTCCACTGTTACCAACCATCTTCTTTGTCGACGCAGGATGTGAATAATGATTATTAGAGCAGTTTAAATGTTGTCAATGATCGTGTGTCCAACACGTTACTGTTCTCTCAGGAGTAATGAAATATCCAGACCTGTTGTTTGACACACCCGAGCGGTGTCTCCTTAAGATCTAGATCATGTTGCGTCACACTTGTAAAGATATTTTGAGCACCTTAACGGGTTAGAACTAGGACCTGGGAACCAGCGCTTTAGCATGTGTTGCAAAATGTATTCATGATGAAGCAGCAGTTGGTAATCGCTCTCGTTAGGGTCGGATCAACTCTACAGATATTTAGTCACACTGAGTGTTTTAGCTAATGCTGAAGTTCGCAGCTATGTTAATGAGAGGAACCTGAAACTAGAGTCTGGACTTTCCTTCATCTAAAGCTTTTTTTTTTTCTTTAAAAAGCCATTATAAAGCAACACGATGTAACTGCTGCTTCTTTGCTGTCCTTGAATCACACAGTGTTGAAAACTGACCTCAGTTCAGCATTATGCTCTGATTTGCTGGATCTGCTTCAGGCAGCTAATTATGCTAATCATGATTCCTCCACTTTTATCTCTACATTTTAAACTATTCATTCCACAGCGCTTTTTTTGTTTGTTTTTTTTAACTGAAAAGATGCAGATTTGTAAACCGTCCCCCTTTTCACAACAACGTCATTGGACAAAACCAAGAAGTGGCCGTCGACTGTTGCCTCCGTCTGTGAGTTCTCATGTGTTATTTTGTGGCTTGTTTGAAATGGTTGATGTAAATATAAATCATTGGCACAAACCCACCCAAAGGAGGCAGCGGTGGACCCAGCGACTGTTTTGTCGTTGTGCGCCTAAATTGTTCATTTTCTCTATGGACTTTGGTGCAGGAGATTTATCCGTCCTGATATCCAGCCACTCGTTCCTTTGGCCTAATGCTTCCTTTTCATTAGAATATTTTTGGGATGTTCCCTGTATTGGACGTTTCTACCTCGAACACTCAGGCACAGGATGGAGAAAACGACATTTTTCCTTTTTATCCTTTCGTTTGGCAGTGACATATCAACGTCTGTGTTGTGTTTGTGGCAGAACTTCATCAAATTCCTCACGGCTCTGCTGTAGTTGCTTCTTCAACGCTGACCATTGTTTGGCATAAATGATGTGTGACATTGATTTTCAAGGTGCTACGTGTACAATTATTTGTATTTCATTCATGGCTGTTCAATTGGGACTGAAACCAATCACCTCTGTTGATCGTTTCATTCAAAATTTAGCGAGGATTTAGCTGAGATTTTGGCTGTTTATTTGCAGACTGTTAGCTGTATATTCCAAGGTTGGAGAGATAATCAGTCAGTGTGGCACATGTCTCACACTATACAAAATGCTTTTATTTTTGTGAAACTTCAATGTGTATTTTGTGCAGGTGACGATGTTTTTCTCAATGTAAAAAAATATTTAAAGTTTGTCATCATTGTGGATTTTTTTTCGCTCTGTATTTCACTCATTATTGAAGGTGTTTACAAAATTGTGTTTTTGTTTATCTTTTAATTTTTGCTAATTTATAAAGCTGTGTATTGAACTTTTGAGAACCACGGTGTATTTCTGTTTAAATATGACTCCAAGCATGTGCGCTGTCTGTGTATAATAAAACTGGGCTCGGTTCACATGGGGTTGATTTTCCTGGATCTTGTTCTTTATCCACAAAAATCACCAGTTTATGAACGAACACGACTCCTTTCCTACATAACTCTGTGAACCCTAACCCTGAAACTCTCCTCTGCTGCTTGTTTTAATTCCTCAGTGTGATTCACAGTCGTTTCCTGTAAAGTTTAAACTGTTTGTCGTTCTTTCAACTTTAATTTTTTTTTCTCTGTACTGTATTTTTTAACAGAAAGCAACAGAGAACATCGTCACAGGTTTCTGACCGCCGCGTTAATGTCTTGACAACATTTTGGTTCAGTGGACATCGTGATGGATGGATGGATGGATGGATGGATGCTTACTACCTGAAATTGCGTCCCTGCTGCTTTCATGTTGTAACAAGACACATGTGATGTGTGTGTGTGTGTGTGTGTGCCCCCTCCAGAGACCATCTGTGTGTGTGTGTGTGTGTGAGACCACAGCAGATGGATTACCGCCCCACTACTCTGAATTCGACCCGTTCACAGGTGGGAGCTGAGACCTGGTCTTTGAAGGATGGACGGGATCCAGGGCCGCGGCGGTTGGAGAACGAGCTGAGGTGCAGTGAGAAGGGAGTCGGAGTCGGAGTCGGAGTGGTTCCCCCGACTCTCACACACACTCTCCATCTGTATGTAAATGAGGCTGAGGACGTGTGGGAAGGAGATTAGCTTTTTAACCTCCTCCATTGTTTCCTCCTCCTTTTAATCTTTAAGTCCTTTGTGACCGTCACCGGGGTTGGTTTCACTGTTGCACCTTGGGTGCTTCAACTGCAGGCCAAGTGTCTCTTTACAGGGACCAGGCCAGTCGAAAAGTTCTAAGACAGATGTCACCACAGCTCCCTCAGTGACTGCTTTGACTGATTGTATCATATCTGGTCTGGGAGTTGACGTGTTGTACCTTTTGTTCTACCTATTAGCACTACTACTGCGTAACTCCAACTTTGTGACTTGGACTTGTCGACTCGATGAACTATCAGACTTGGATGTAAACGACTTGGTTTGGTCTCGGTCTTAAACGTCACAGTACTCAGACTTTACTCTTTCTCGACTTAAACCTAAACTCTGACACCTCAGACCTTTTCAGGGACTTGGACCTGGACTTGAGACTCTGGAGAAATGGACTCCAAGTCATGCTGACTCGACTCTGACCAACAGGATTTTAAAACCATTATTAGTCAGTGACTGAGACACAAACCAACATCTCCAACCTTTTTGCAGCATGAACAAACAAACGACGTACGATATCTCTCACATTTTTCTCTGCGCTCCAACCTCGAGCAGACCCGGGTCGTAACCTTGTTCCTTCTTTGAGAAAGGCCAGACCAGAGACTGGATCCAGCTGATAAGGGCTCACAGACAGGAACCAGGTGAATTAGCCAAACCCTGTTTCTGTTTTGAAGGCCAAACATCCAAACCCACTGGTATTCCTCCTTCTGTTTCCTCTGATCTTACACAGCGTCTGCTGGACGTTATCAGCGTCGGATATTTACGAGCTCCTGGCCTGAGCATGCTGGGATGGATTTGAGGGGTTTAGACCGAGTATCCCCCGGGGTTTGTCCATGTGTAGGACAAGGTGGACGGAGGAAGTCTTGTACTCTGACACGAGGGAGATCCAAACATCCTGACACTCCTCCTCCTCAGTCACATCCTCAGTCGGTGAGTTACAGAAATGAGCAGCAGACGGACGTTATCTGAGCGTCACATCTGTTTTTGGGTGTTTTTACTTCTAACAAAGTTTTAGTTACTTTTAACAATGAATGCCAGAGCGATATTTTTGTCCCGATATTATCATAATTATGTTAATATCTGTAAGAATCGTTATTGGTTTTTCCTCTGATAATGAAAACCCTCGGTTTCACCAAATGATGTTTGCTCTAAAAATAGTTTGGGGGGAAAACAGCTGTATATGAAAGCGAAAGTCACTAGATGGCGGCATTGCGGCTCATTTTATCAACCTATTTTAATAATCAGGGGATTGTACACAGAATGCTGGTGCTGGCTTTCTCAACCACCAGGCCACCACTCCCCCGCTATATCGGTATCAGATATGAAGTGCTTGGACTATGTCGGCATATCACATATCAGATATTAGTTAATATCGAACATCCCTAGTTTTGACCAAATCTGTGATTCTTAGTCCTGATGTGATGAGTGTAGTGTGAAACCCTGGCTGGACGTTTTCTGTTCCTTGAATTCTGGACCCATTTTAACCCAACTTTGTGTTTCCCGTCAGAGGAGAACACCTGGAGGAGTTTCCTCTTTACTGTAAACTGTGAAAATCCTGTGAAATCTGAACTCGCTGCATGACAAAACACAAACGAGCAGGACATCAGGGTGTGAGCACAAACACTTCAAGTTCCATCACGCTCCTCACTGCGACGTTCCCTGATCCACACGTCTGACGCAAGAGTTTGGTGGAAAATCTACGTTTTTCCACCAAACTTTCATTTCAGGCTTTTTAAAAATTTTTATTGTATTTTTTTTTTTTTTTTTGACGCAGATGTGATGTTTGAGAGGAAGTGGAAGTGAGTGACGTGTTGGATTTGAACAGCAGATGTCTAATAACCTCCTCTGGTCACGTCAGGTCACCACTCTTCACTCTTTATTTTCAATAAACTCAAGAAACAAAAGCTGGAGCCGAGTTTGACCGACAGGAAATGACGGCTTCGAACACAGGGTTCGACTGTAGGAGATGAAGATGAAGATGAAGATGAACCACAGTGTGTTTCCATGCCGTTACCATTAACTTCCCCCAAACCAAGTAAGCATCACCAGACACACACACACACACACACACTCAGCGTCCCCCAGAAGATGCTGCTCAGAGATAAAAGCGAGCGCAGCCGTCAGCCGTGTGTACAGCAGAGACTGGAGATCTGAAAGAAGAAAAGCCATGAAAAATGGATGAGAGGAAAAAAATCCACTTCACCTCCCCCCGGAGGCCGACGAGCCCCCCACGGTGCTCCCACTCATAATCCCCTCTATACTACACACAGACACACACATGCACATGTGGTGAATACAAACAGGAAGCCAGTGTATAGACACACACACACACACACACCACCTGAGATTCTCCTGCTGGAGCATCTCTTCTTACGTTAGATTCAATTGTACCTTTTGTGATGTCATCACCGCCATGTCCAAAAACTCATAATTCCAAAATGACATCTTGTTTTTTTGTACCATCATTTTTTTATTTTTTTGGGGTAATGTATTCTGGTTCCTGTCGTGGTGCAGTGGATTAAAGAGGCGCCTGACAAATGTGGTTAGTCACGGTTTCAATGGAGGGACTAGCATTAGCCCACCATTAGCCAGCCATTACGGTTTAAATGCTTGTAAAGAGGCCGTTTCACATTAATATGCCGTTCAGCATAGAGGTGTGTGTGTGTGTGTGTGGAGGATTTTAATTTTTTGGGACACAGAAATTAAAACTTTAATCCCCTTTTATTTCAAGTGCTCACAAAAGGCTCCATCCAGACCCACGCTGCCACGAGCCGTTTCTGCAAAGGGGTGGCTAACTGCTAGCATGCTAACCCCTGCTTTTCTGCATTGCTAGCATGGTACATGCTAATCGGGGTTATATAGAGAACAGGCCTCAACTACTTCATATATGAACTCCACCTGTTGTACACTAATGGGTCGCGACCCTCATGTTTAAAAAGACTGTGAAAGGCTGTACTGTCGACCGACCGACTGATCCATCTTTTAGTCAGCGAACACACACACACACACACTCAGTTCCTTCAGCACCTGAGGCCATTTCAACAAGGTGTGATCCAACATGAGGCGCTCACGTGTGCGTGCAGCAGCGTGTGAAACGGCCCCGTCACAGCGGCCGCTGCGGCTCGCGGCTATCGCCAGCTCCTTCAGGGCCTATCTGTATCTGAGGGACTGGCAGTCGCCTGATGAGAGGGAGACGGAGACATGGGAGGAGGAGGGGGAGGGAGGGGGAAGGGGGGTGTCACTGTACACACACACACACACACACAGTCAGACAGGTGCCTGTCTGCTGCTGTGGTTCTTCTCTCCACCACCTCAGCAGCACAGATGGTGAAGGAAGTCCCGTCGTTTGGTGTTTGTGAGCTTTTGTCCACTTCACATGTTTGGAGCCTTTAAGTGGTGCAGATACACAAGTGTGTGAGTGTGTGGGTGTGTGTGTGCGGCAAAAAGTAGGTAATATCTGTATTTGGAGGACCAGCCTGTCGTGTACTTTTACTACATGTTTGAACCGTACTCTAAAATATACAGAACATTTTTACTGACATGATGAATTTAGAGTTAATTATTGCATTACCACCTCAAACGTCCGTTTACATCATCAATTCAATTCCTATTGGCTCACACATATGCACATTAATTTGTTGTTAAAATTAAAAAAAATGTTTTTAGGGTTTATCATGTTGATATTTTGCCATTTGAGAATAAAAGTTTATAAACTGTAAATAAAAAAAAGTCACTGAACAGAGGCTAATTTCAGTGAATATACAGACGCAGACAGTAGAGGGCGCTCCACACCACGGTAAACAAAGGCGCTTGACCTCAGGGACAGTTGTGTGAGTTTTTTTCGGCCTGTTTAGTTGTTTCACTTTAATTTAATACAGATTTAGAGAGAGTTTTCTTTGAAAAGTCAAGGTTTTTTTTGTTTGTTTGTTTTTTAATTCTGAGGAAAATCACCTTGAATAATTCCAGAAATGCCAGGAAATAACGACCGTCCTGGTAAATAATCAGATCACAGCTCACATGTCTGTCATATGTCCTTCAGAGATGTTTCCTCCTGTTGACAGAACAGGAGGAAGATAGAACATAATGAACCGGAGAACCACGGTTCTACTGTGGATTCTAGAAGGTTCTTTCAAAATATGAGGCTGGTTTGGTGGGGGGGTTATTAGAAGTCAACAACAACAACAACATGTGGACATTGTGTGACATGGATGATGGATGAGTTCTGTATAAGTAGATCAGTGATGATTGATATTGATAAATAAATAGAAATCTATTTTTATAATTTAATGTTCGTCATCCCAGGATTAACATTCCCACTCAGAATAAATTTGGATGAGCAGTTGGATGAGGATGGATGTAGATGGATGGTGTAGTGGTGGTGCTGGGGGGGGTCTGTAGCTGGGGGTTATTACACTATTGTCCGCCCTCTTAATCCGGTTGGCTCAGCGACTGCCCTCAGGCCAATTTGTCAGTGGTTGGCGGAGCTGCCAATCACACGGGAGCCTCCTCTCCTCCTCCTCCTCCTCCTCCACCTCCACCCCCTTGCCCACCTCCTCCCGCTGCTGTTGCTGCTGCTGCTCCTTCTGCTCAGCTCTGTGGCAGCAGAACATCTCAGTCTCTGTGTGGAGAGATTTGACAGAGAGGAGGGATCCTCCAGTGGAACCTTCACAGCGCTGCAACACACACACACTTATACACCTCACACAAACGCGTGTAAAGGCTCGGTGAAATCCGGACACACACAGCAACGGAGCGAGAAGACGCATGTGGAGACATTTTCTTCCCATCAGTCTGATTATTTTGTGCATGTCAGGAGAAGAGGAGGAGGAAACTGGTCGCCGGCTCCGCGGCTGCTCGTCTTTTCTCACCGCGTCTCTCAATGTTCGTCTCCCTCTCTAATTAATCGGAGGCATGTGGAATCGCAGCAGGATTAGGAATTGCTTCCCAATAGTGTGTCTGCTGCTGCTGACGTTATGGACGGAGGTGAGACGGCGCTCGTTTTATTTTATCCCTTTTTTTTTTCTTTCCCCTCACCAAACAATTAACGAAAAAAAAAACACATTTTGCTGCGCGTTGAAGCGCAACCTTTTTTTTTTTTTTTGAATCTATGTGCTAAAAGTTAGCGGGCGTGGGCCGGTCTTTATTTGCTGCATATTCGAATCACATTAATCGATAATTGAATTGAAGGATCAGTTCGGTTCTTTCTTTCTCGTTCTCTCTGTGTGTGAGGGAGAGTAGAATGTGATCGTGTTTCCATGACAAGATTGAAATGTGAGTCCTTGAATTAAATTAATATTTAAATTTTTTTTTGTGCCTCTAAATTGAAACAAAAAAAAAACAAATATATTGCCGTCGTTCAATTCGCTCCCGTTTCTTCCTGCAAATCCAGGTTAATTTAATTGCGGCTAATCATGTGTTGTTCACGTGTTACATTCATGATGCAGCAAATTATTGCTGGCGCACTTTTTTTTCTTTTTCTTTTTTTTTTTTTTAATTTAGGATCAGGCAGTGTGAGGTCATGCCTTGGTCCGACCGTTTACGCGCCGATACCAAGTTGTATTTGTGGCCCCAACGGTTGTCTAACAACGCTGTCTCTTTTTTTTTATTTATTTATTTTTATGTCTTCTTCATTAGGTGTCCCAGTCAAGCGGCTATTTCGAGCTGCAGCTCATCTCCGTGGAGAACGTCAACGGCGAGTTGGCGGACGGCGAGTGCTGCGACGGTCCCCGGAGCTCCCAGGACCGGCGCTGCACCCGGGACGAGTGCGACACTTACTTCAAGGTATGCCTGAAGGAGTACCAGATGGAGGTCACCACCGGAGGGACGTGCACCTTTGGAACTGGATCTACACAAGTTCTCGGTGGAAATATGTTTTCTTTTAAGACCAGCGGGAAGAGAAACCCCAATAAAATGGACGAGGCCGGGAAGATATTGATCCCCTTCCAGTTCTCGTGGCCGGTGAGTGTCATTTAATTAAACCAAATCCCATTTAAGTTTTGGGGATATTAATGTTTATTGTCAATTTGTGCTTCCAGTAACATGTGGGGATATTGACAACTAAGCTTGAATGAATCTTCACGTGTCACTCCTCCATTCTGCTCACATATAAATAAACTCTACAGCAGCATTGATTTGGGAGATCATTTAAAAACAGATCCAAATTTAAAGTTGCAATAAACAAAGTTCTGTTGGCTGATGCATATTTTCATGAAATGGAATAGAACATTACATCAAGGCAGATGTAAATATTGAGGAGTGACAGTTTTTGTTTGTTTTTTATAACGTACCTTTGAGACTGAAATCCCTCCAATACAGAACCTCCTTTAAGATGTAGGCGATTTGGTGTCTTCTGCTTGTTGCATGTGTTAGAAACAAGATAAAACCTGTCATTCAAACACAAATGATCCATAAGGATCCACTTTTCTATTCTGCATACGCCGCGACCAACAGAACTGACGTTTATTTGGAACAAAGCTTTAGAACACGGTTCACCACCAGGCCCGGTTTGCAGCAGCAGAACTAGAACTAACCTCTGAGTGAACCTGATTGATGTGCTAAACCAGTGATGAGTGTTTAATGTGTGTGTGTTTCACTGTTGCATACGATCAATTCTAAAGTTCTGCTCAAATACTGCCTAAAAAACGCTGACCAGGAAACAGAACCTCATTCAAATTTGGTGTGATTTAATGACCGCTGGTCGCTGCTGGTGTTCAGACACCAACAGGAACCAGTGGTCACTGCTTCAGTGACTGTTGAGCAGGTGCTCTAACATTCTGCTCCTACTGTACAAGTGAAAGTAACACTCTTTGAATAAAAGCCTTAAGGTTATAAATGAAATTCCAAACAATTTGCTAATTTTTTTTAGTGCATGCCTTGAAGTAGTATGTGACGCATCATGCAAACTGTGATAAATAATGGGAGGAGGGGGCGTAATACATACTGTAGGTGGGCTCACTCAGCATTAAAACTGAATTAAAGCCTCAAAATGACATTTCTATCATGCTTTTTGATCTGTTAAGAGCCCATGTCTAGATCTCATTTACATTTAAAGCAATTTAACGTTCCCTGCTGGCTGCGTGCCTGGAGAAACCCAGTTAAACACGTCATGTTAGCTTCAGTGAATTTCGAGGGGGCTACTCTTTCATTCGGCTGCTACGCAGGGAAAATCGTATCAGAGCTGGTTAAGATAAAAGCTGTAAAATTTAAGCAATTTAAAAGAGATCCAGTGAAGGCTGAGGAGCTGCTGTTTTCATCCTGACATGATGAAACTGCATCCAGACCTGATTGTGAGGTGGATCAGTTGGTCTTGATTATTGTTTTTGATTAGTATTTGTGTTTTGATGGAACCTCAGGAAGTCCAAATCCTGATGTCCTTAAAAAAAAAGAGAGGCTCAAACGTGGGACAACAGGGATGAGACCGTGCAGACTGAACCTGTTTGCAGCGCTGCAACGCTGCACACTTGAATTGAAACTCACAACATTATGGTCTGGTAAAGGTGCATTTGGCCTTATTTGCCAGCAAGCTCCGACTTCACTAAACAGGGACTATGTCATCATGCTGTCCTCCTGGGAGAAGTCCCACACAGACAGACACAGACACACATCACAGTTAAATGGAGGCATGCTTGGCCGGGATCCTGTTGCAGCTACAGTGGTTCACAGTGTCATCTGGGTCATCTTTTAAAGTTGCTCTGATATATGAGTGTTGGCTTTGTTCCAGTCCACCAGCGTGCACCTGCCAGGGACCCGATCCATTAATTAGACGGGGGGAAATGCTTTGATATGTTTACGCCACAGGGGGGAAAAGAAACTCTGGTGACTTCTCCGAGAGTTGAGGGTTTGCAGCGGAGCCGTTGATGAGGTTAAACGTGCGGTCGGCTTTGTCACAAATGTGTGAGGTCAAAGAGAGAGAGAGAGAGGGAGAGAAAACGGTGTGAAAATGAGCCGCTGCGTTCGGGGTTTTGAATTTCGAGTGAATGGAAGCAAAAAGAATGAGTAGAGCTGAACTGCCAGAACCTGCAGGGAGGGTTGTCTGGTGCGACAGACGGGAACAACCTGTGCCATGTTTGTGGGCACGGTCTGGTCGCTGGATGCTCCGAATTTTTAATCATGAATAAGCGAGCGTGAAGTATGCATTCAAGCCGCAGCGAACGGCGCCTCGGGGCGCAGGTTTGATACGTGCTGACTCCGCTTTTGACACTCCGCCCACACGGCAACACCTGACAGCGGCTTCCACTCCCGCTGTGGGTGCCAGGTGGCCCCCGGTGGCCCCTGGCAATTAATCTGGTCTTTCTACAGACGAGTGAGTGATGGCGGGTGGATTTTTTTTAGGTGTGTGCGCGCGAGATGAAGGTGTGCAGCCGAGGGAAAATATGCAAAGCACTCGCACTCGTAGGCCTCAACTCACTGTACTTTCAGGTTTGATGACATTTAGCTTTTGTTTGCACGTATTTTCAAATGAAGCTGTTGTCAGCACCTGTGATGTCACAGTGTGTTTGCAGAGGTAATTGTTATGCATTTGTCCTCCTTTTTTGTTGTTGTTGTTGTTGTTAATCAAGCAGCAGTGGTGATGGTGTTGTCGTCACACACGCTGATGATTGACTGTGTCACCGCGACTCTGTGTTACATTTCAAAGAGGAACTGCAGTCAGTGTTTGACTGATCCACAGCCAGAACCCAAGCCCTGATGAGTGCTTGTCATTTCTGTGTATTTTTCTTTTCTGGACAGTTGACAAACAAACCCAAGAATCCTATTGTTCTTACTTCGCAGTGTTCTAGAACATTCCTAAAGGGTGATTCCTTAATTAAGAAATGATACTACAAATCAAAGAGGATCCATTAACCTCGGCCACATCAACATTTTTTTAAATGAGCTCAGGCGTTGTTATTGTGGTTCATTAGTGTCTGTGTAGACAAGTCAAATCATGACCTTTAGAAACTCCAGGAATGTATACATATATATACTATATAAATATATATATACACATATCACTCTATCTATGTATATGTATTAAATATGTATATATGTGTGTATATAGATATATAGATATATGTATTAAAAGGTTGCTGTTTTTTAAATTTGTTCCAACACGTATACTGATGTAGACGTTTGTCACATGCTCTGAGTTTTTCGATTTCATGCTTTTTCATTTTGCCACCTTTGAATTTTCCTCAGTAAATTAACAGCCACCTTTTTAATAGGTGTTTTAAGCTCCAGGGGAAATGGCAGTGGTGCGATTTCACACTGTATGGGCCATATACTTAATGAGGAAGGCTATTGTGCAGGTCGTTAAGTGTGTGTGTGGGTGTGTGTGTGTGTGTGAGGAGAGAGGGAGGCGGTAGATGTGGCTTGTATTTACCACCTGGTAAAACCACTTTTCTTTGGCCGGCCTTGATATTTCTGAATGATTCTGAGCGACCTCCACCTCCGCCGTCCTCCACTTAGCCCCTGGAGTCTCTTATTCAAAGCACTTAGTGACACCTCAAGGCGGAGGTGAAGAGGGCCGCGCCGCCGTGTTCTCTCTCCGTTAAGTGTGTCGGGCTGATAACGCCGCACTATCCCAGTGCCAGATGTCACAACAAGCCTGCAGGGTCGCACTAGCTGTGGCATTGTCACTTTGCTCGCTGGAGAAACAAAGATGCAGTGTGCCGTCGGCTGTGTCATCTGGAGCGTGGCCCAAGTTTGAGACTCATGTAAATCACTGAGGACTGGACTGCAGAGTCTGTCATCCCCGACCCGACATCTGAAACCAACCAGAAATTAAATTTATATGAACCTACGGGGAGCGGGGAGGGGGGTGGGGGGGTTGACCTTTCTCTGATCCAGGCCTAATTATATGTTCTGTAATCGACCTTTTCTGGAAGGAAGATGACGGAACGGTGGCATGTGATGCTTCTTGTCTGCACAGGTCCACAGGTTTGTGAGGTTGGGGAGGTGTTTCAGTATAATTTCGACCCATTCATGAGCTCCATTATCTTGTGAAATGGATAAATGATATGTCGCTGGTTTTATTGACTCAAACTGGAGTGCAGTAGATTTACAGCAGTAGACGTCAATCACACTGTGTTTCTAAAAGGTACAGTAGGGTCAGAGACACTGTGCCCCCCCCATCCTCCTGTAACACAGTACTGATAATGGTCGACCTTAATAGGCTGCCTCTCTGATTACATGATGTCCGTCCTGTCCTGAGAAAAGACAGAGAATGTCTGCTACATCTGGCTGCGACCAGTGCCGTAAAAGTCAGCTCCACGTGGGTTGAGTTAGTTCTGTCGACCAGTGTTGTTTCAGGGACTGAACTGCAAGTTTGTACTCGAAGAAAAAATATTTCTCTCTTTCAAATTTGGACTTAAATCTGATAAGAACGACATGGAGGACGATGACAGACTGGTGGAGGGAGTGGCATATTTTGGGCGATAAAGCTAAATGCAAATTTGTAAATTATCCGAAAAAAACTGTGTGTGATAACAGGACGTTTTACGGAACCTTCAGCTGCTGGTCAGGGTTTCCACAAGATTGTAGAAGAAGATTCTGATTGGATCACCATTGACAAAATTTATGATGTTTATGTCCACAAAGAAAGTAAAAGCTGGAAAAAAAAACAAACCCAGAGCCAAATATATACCATCTTTAGCTTTAGCAAAATAGCTAACGTTGAAATTGGACTAGATATGGACAGAATGGACATCAAAACCATAATGGTCTCCTATCAGTCATCTTACCAAGTTTTGACTCTTTGTTTTGTATCTGATTGAGTTTCCATTTCGTCCACTAAAGGACAAAGACAGAGGCAGTGAGGGACGTGGTTCCCGTCCATTTGATCACTGATTAAATTGCCGGTGGAATTTCTTGTTTCCTCTCTACCTTTCTCTCTCTCTCCTTCCCTGCCCTGCGGCTACAACACCCGGACGTCCGTTTGATGTGTAACTGTATCTGTGGACATGTGGTCGACCTGCTCTCAG